CTTTGCACTAGCATCGACTGTTTTGTATAGTTAAAAAATTCAATTGAACTTCAAAGTGTCATTTTTCTGGCATGTCCCAAACAATGTTTCCAATAATAATTAGCTTCAAAACTTCCTATAAATTTTTCAATATCTAATTTTTTTGTTATCTCAACCGGTGGAAGCATTTCTAGAATATACGCAGAGGGTATTATTTACAAAAACTTCGTTTAAATTAATTTTTTCTGTCAATAATTTGTTTGTCCCAAGAAAATCTGTCATTTTCCTGGCTACTTTTATTCAGTGGTTTGTAACCAAAATAGATAGAGCCAGCAATCAATATCTTATGTTAATAGATTGATTAGATACCCTCCTATATGAACAAGTCTTGTTGCATGAATAAAGAACCAATTTTATAGTTCAAAATCTATTTCAAAATTTATTTCAAGGTGAGTAGGTTTTTGTGTTGTCATTTTCCTGGCTTCTTGAAACTATTAATAACATAAACTACATTGATTTATCTCAGTTATTTTAAGAAATCCTGTTGTTTTCTACAGAATATAAACATCTTAGGGCAAAATATTTAATTAAAGTTATATGCTATAAAAAGGTGAATTTGTCATTATCCTGGCTTAATAATGCCAGAACATTGAAGTGTTACCAGAATTTTTTTAAACTGCTAATACTGTAAGGAGGAAAAGCAAATATTAACCTAATACCAAGTTTATGTATGATTGTAATATGCTTGGATGTAATCAAAGTTGTTTATTTATTGATAGATTGATTATTGTACATAATTTTATTCTGTACATAGCAGCAACAGAATTTTTTAAAATTCTTTCTATAGTGGATGAAGAGAATTAATTTAAGCAATTTATGGTCCATCTAACATAAGGGCTTAAGTTGAGTTACCTACTATTAACTTAAAATGACTGTTTTTTAAACTTCTAAGCTAATATGTAATTTTCCTGGCATGCAAGATTTGGTGAATTTCTATTTTATTTTTTTTCCCGAGCAACACTGCTGTCTATAAGATATTAATAAGTGTAACTAAAGAAGTATACAAAAAAACTTTTAGATTATTTTCACGACTTTAAATTTGAAGAAATTTTTTGGTCCGAATTGTCATGTTTCGTGAGAATCACCCATATACAGTCAAACCCCGCTATAGTGAACACGGCTTATAGTGAACTCCCGGATATAGTGAACGAAATGCTCGGTCCCGTGCCTTGCTATACACGTATAATGTTATTATTAGTGGATATAGTGAACCAAAAAAGTGAGGAAGTTAGACAGGTTTAAAAAGCGGAATAACAGAAATTCAGGAAAAATTATCTGAGAGTCGGGAAGTGTTTCCATATCTGATGCTAAGGATTGCTCATCAGCTACAGATTACTAATTTTTATTTGTACGAAAGACGAAGAGTGATGAAAAATAACACATTTTCTGCTACTACATTATATTTTTCAGTCATTTATATGAATATAATGTAATAAAAGGGAGGAGTTAGGGGGAACTATTAGTGAAATTGCCTGCGTAACGGATATAGTGAACTCCCGGTTATAGTGAACAGAAATGTCGGTCCCTTGAAGGTTCACTATAGCGGGGTTTGACTGTATATGTAAAAAGATGCAGTTGGACCGATCAAGGAAAAAAGACGCAGGATGTTGATGAAATCAGAGTGACTTTATTTAAGTCATACTTTGTTGAGTGGGAGCGAAAAAGAAAAAGTTTACTCCATCAGCGATTATTCTTTTTGGTAGGGAAAATCTCGCAAAAAATCTAAAAATGTCTCTATTTAGGGTAAAGAGAGAAATCTTAGAGATTATTATTGGTTTAAGAACTAGTTCCAGTGATTCCCACGAAGCTTAAAAGGGAAGAATGTCTTTATTTAAATCTATGCATAGTTGGGCCAAAAATAGATTTAGAAACAGGATGTGGCTTTTAAAAGTGTGAGAAAGCAGTTCGACTTGAATAATTAATTAGTAATAAAATAGGAGTTGTTTTATAACGAAGAAGCTAATATAAAATGATCCATAGAAGCTTTTTAAGTTACATCCCCCCTCACCGAAAATTTCAACTAATATCTAAAAATTTTAAAAACTATCCCTTTGCAAAACTTTCCCTATGATGACACAATTAAAACTAAAAAAAAAAGTTAATAATAATATTTGTGATATCAACAAGATATAAAGTAACATGAATTATAAAAAAAAAACACATTTGCGCACAATGTAAAAAAAAAAAATTTTTTTTCTTATGGATTTTGCCTGGTATACCCTACACTGATGTTTTTTTTAAAGTCAAGTGCCATTGCCCGGTATACAAATGCCCTGTATAAACAACACTGATGTTTTTTTAAGGTCAAGGGCCACTGCCTGGTATGCATTTACCCGATACTTCAAACACTGATGTTTTTTTCTAATTTATCGTCAGTGTTTTTTCTAATTTATCGTCAGTAAGTATTAAAATATCGTATAAATGTAATTATATCCACGAATAAATTAATATCAAATTGGATATAATAAATATTTCGGACATTCACAAAAGTGACTATGCGATTGTTGACATTCACCGATGAAAGGCGACATTCTTTTGATTTCGGTCATTCACTGTAACATATCTCTTTTTTTCTGTGTCAATATGAGGTCATACTTTTTTGTGAACAGACTATATAATGGACTATGAAAATCATAAAAAAAGGTATCTTTAAAAAAGGTACCCTTAAGCTTATAAGTACCTGCATAAAAAAGGTGCGTCGTGTAGGCTAGTAAAGCACTTGTATTAAAAAGGTATCTGTAAGCTATTAAAAAANTAAATAAATATGATTAACATTACTAGAATCCAAATATGTAAAAAAAAATACATGTTTATTCAGAGAAAGTACGTTTTTGTGTCTGATTTCGTAACTTAATTAATAGTTAGCACTAATTAATTAGCATATTTGAGGTCACCCCCGGGAACCATTAAGATTGACGTTTAGATCGTGAAAATCCGATCATTAGAACAAAAGTTATTCAGGGTGATATCTTTTTTTTTTTGCTGACTGTACCTTGAACGTATTTTTCCAACATTGCCTTGCACCAATCGACACGTGCCTTTTTTTAAGCGTTTGTCAGATTATGCGGGATCCAACGCGAACAATTTTTTTTATGCTCAAATGTTCATGCTATATTTTATTGATACTAGTCATACTAATGTCCAAAGACGCCTCTATCTCACGGTATGTCACATGACGATCTTGCTTTATCAGTTCACGCACAGCATCGATCTTTTCTGGCACAACAACGGATTTTGGACGACCTGCACGGGATTCGTCCTGGATCGAACATCGACCACGATTAAATTCGTTATACCAATTTTTTACAGTGCTGTAGGATGGCGCTTTATCGCTGAATAAAGAATTAAGTTCATCGAAGCACTCTTGTCTTGACAATCCACGTCGAAAGTTATGAAAAATAATGGCACGAAAATGTTCACGATTCAATTCCCTTTTTTTGAAAGAGAAGAACTTTTCAATTTACTGTCAGCAACACAAATGAAGCTATCATGGTAAATCATCTGCTGAATTTATGTTTAAAAATATCAAACTTTCGATTAAAATCGTCTGCGGTCGCCTAGCAACACTTACTGTTGCCAAGGCCAGGAATATAAATAGCAACCCTCGTATTCACAGAGCATTCTATGTGCGTAAAAATAAGTAACTCTAAATATATATTTTACCGCAGTATTTATTTTTACCGAAACATGTTACGGAACAAAAAGTCTGATAAACCGTTATTCAAACAGTAATATCTACCGCAAAACCACTTTATCACTCTTATTAAATAAACATTACTATAAAATTTACGGCAAAAAGAATTTTATGGTAATATGGATATTTTTCTCTCTTCTTCGCAAATTAGGGGGGTTGTTTTTATGTTTATTTCAATTTAGTTGTGTCTAGCAGTCAGTAGTGTAATTTGGTGATGGGATTTTTGTTTCAAGTAAGCTTTTGCGCGTACTATTCTTACTTATTTGTCTTGTTTTTATACATCAGTATTTGCTTTATGTATTTTATATTTTGTATTGTATTCTCTTCCTGGACTTTGGCAAGACCTTTGGGGTGCAGAGAGAGAGAGCAATTTTAGACTTTTGTCGTGTTCTCTCGATAGAAAAGGTTTTGCTTTTATGACTTTTGGAGCTGGTATCCCCTGAAGACGTCATCTTCGGTTGTCATATTTCATTGTTCCTTTTGTTTCAATTCCTTTTGGATTTTCAGCGTTTTTCCACTGTAAGTAGTATTTTTAATTGCTTCAAATATTTTGATTTTTTTTCTTAATATGTAACTGACTTTTACAAGGTAAAAGTCATATTTCAATATATTATTCTTGGCTTCTTAGCTTCTTGGCTTTATAATTATTAAGTCTTCAGTCTTTATAATTATTTCAAAAATTCATATAAAACGCTACTTTCTATCCAGTTTTCGCTTAAAATATAGGCAAAATGAAACTCACGAAACTCTACTATTATTTAATAAGTTTTAATATTAAGAAATTAATTTCGAAGATTAATTTTAAAAGATTAACACGTTCACTCCGGCGTGACCCACCGGGTCACGCTAGATTGTTTCATCTTGGCAGCGCACCGGAGTAAAAACTGCTAAAAATAAATTTCATTTATTATTTTTTTTCCGGGAATAATAAAAATCCATAACTGCCAATTGTTTTTAACGGATGAAATTTTTATATTGAATTGCTTCTTCGTCTTGATAAATTTCCTTTCAGTGAATTGTTATTGTTGAGAATACATTAACTCCCCCCGAATATTGAAATAGTTCTTCTACCAGTATTTTCACCTTTCCCGGCTTGAACGTGTTAATTTAATTTTAAGAGATTTTAATACTCTACCATTTTTCTTTATAATTAGGAGCATTTGTATCTTTGTGTTACGGTGGGAATATTTGATCAACTTTATTGTGTTTCTATCCATTCGAAAAAAACTGTTTCTTATTCTAAAATTAAATAATTCATAACTTGAAATTCGAAACATGTTTATTTGACTAAAAATTTCAAAACAATTATGCAGATTTTTTTAAAAATAAGATGTTTGTTAGCAATACTCAACATAGTTCTTAAGACAAGAGGAATTACAGTTGTTACTAATTCCTACTTAACAATGTTTCGAACAAAATGCCTGACTCTCCAAACAGGATATAATTAGCTGCGGAGATTGGCCTAATTCGTTACTGTTATATGTAACGATGTTCCTAGCAAATAATACAAATATGATCCATAATCTGATTGGAAAATCCATAATCCGAGTCCTAAATCGTCATGCAGGAAATCACCTTTAAGAAAAACACTAGTGGTCCTTTTTCTTCGTTTTTTTCATCCTTTTGAACAAGTTCTTGAAAAAACATCGAAAACGAAGTTTCTTGGTGTTCTTTTTCAAGATTTTATCTTGTTTCAATTTAACACCAATATCTTCCACTATATCAGGGACCACGCTGTAAAAATAAAAATAAAAATCTTTCGTGTACCATTAATTTTAACTCCTAAGCAATTTGATTTGCAATGAAGTTCATCGCTAATACAAAAAAAAATTATTATAATTCGTAAAAGCTCTAAAAACTGAAACTGTACTTTGACAACTGAAATATCGATTTGTAGTAAGACAGTAGTATGTAATTTCTAATAATTATTTTAATTTCGTTTAAAAAGTAACTTAATTACAGATTCGTAAGAACAATTTTTGAATATCATTAAAACATAAAATTAATTCAATATGATTATTATCTTTTATTTAAATTCAATAAAATTAATTATGATTCAAAGTTCCCGTTTCACTACCTGTCTCATAGTCTTTTAACAAATAAAGGGAAAACACATCACGTAATCATAACTCAGTACAATCAGAAACAATTATTCAGATGTAAATGAATAACTGATAGAACAATTCAACAAATGATCTTATTTAATTCTTTAGTGCTGAGTTGAATGATTACTACTTAATTTCGCTTAGTTCTTTTGGATTGTTTTTTCTTATTTTGATCCATTACAATTTTGGAGTTTTTAAAATAGGCATCTTGAAATAAATTACAATATTGCTGAAAATGGTCTCATTGAAATCAACATAGTGAAAGTGCGGCTCAATAAAAATAATATGAATTTCGAAAACTGTATGAAAGATGAAAGATTAAAGCAAGGTAAAAACAAAAAAACTTTTCGAAACCTAAAAACTCTCTACTGTGGAAGGTGGTACTGAAACTAAAGTCAAAACTTGTTTGATTGCCGGAAGGTAAAGAGAGATTGTAAGGCTCTAATTTTCTAAATATTTCGATGTTTCATCCAGCAATCAAACTAGCGTTGATAATTTCAGTTCCACCTTTCTCAGTGTGGATGTAAGAAATTTTGATCTTGTTTGCTTAATTGCTGTTCCGTGACCATTGACGAAATATTTATCCAGCAAATACTTTAAATATATATTGAGATCAGTGATTACGGTAAATGTTTTGCGCAGAAAAAATGGTGTTTCGAAAAACAGTAAACAATGTTACTTTTTTACAAAATGAAAAAAAAAAAAATGAAAAAAAAAATATTTTTTGTTTTAGATACAAATCTATCGAAGTCATGCTAAACAAAAACTGAATAAAAAAATTAATAAAAGAACTTTAAAAATATTTTAAAAATGTTTTTCATTTTTTAAAAGTCAAAATTTTAAATTCAGTTGTTTTTTTAAATATTCTTTTTGGGATTTGAAGACGAAGAATGGGAAAGAGGAGTATGCATATTTTATTGAGAAACATGCAGAGAGTATATTATATCGACGTGCCTTACTCCTAGCTTTTAACAAAAATATTTATAAAACATTATTTTGTATATTCAATCTGAATTAATCACGGAAATTTCCTTAGGTATATGTGAGTTAAGACTTAGTTAACTTTGTGAAAAATAGTTTTTGCTTTTGTTAAGCTTTTTGCAGCATATTATTTATGTGTGAAATACTCAAGAAATTTTAAAATACCTCGTTTCTGCCTCCGAACTATCAATGGAATTACAAGCCATGCTATCTATCGATTTTGAAGAGCAATGGGCTTCCACATTTTCTAATCCATAGCAGGAATCATACTCTTCATAATTTTTATCACCATTAAAGGATCCATCCATATATTCTTCATCCGCTAATGATTCATAAGACGAGCCACGGTAAAGTCGTTTGATTCGTTTATATTCCCGCAAAATGAAATCCGTGTTCGTCAATTTGTAAAGCTCGTCTTCATCATCATCATTCAATTCAATGCCAGATCCACAATTTGATTCCTCATCCGATATGAAGGCTTCACTAGTCAGAATCCTTTTTGGGATTTGTTCAGGTTCTGACTTGCTTTCTGAAGATTCGAACACAATGTGCATGTTAGGAAGACTGCGGAATCGTATCAATTCACGAGTCCTCCACTCATGACCAAGTTGAACCTCCAATTTGAAGCCTTCATCAGCACGACAGCCTTCCTCAACAAAATACTTTCGAGCCTGACTACGAAGTCTGGCCCTCCATTCGTCATAATACAGTTGGTCGGCGATGTCAATATTCGCCCCTTTACTTCTCTTTTTGGCTGTAAAACACAATAACCGAATGAAGAATATCACATATTTCTGATAAAACATCAACGTTTCCTTAAATTATTCATTATAATCATTAATTTAATTTAAAATTTCGTAAGGGCGCGAGCGTGATATGCAAATAAGTCGTTTTTGTTAATATTATTTGCATATATATAGCTAAGCTTTGTATATACACAGAAGAGTCATTGCATTATGACCACCATCCATCTATAACAATGGGCTCGAACAGGTTTTCATGGTTTCTCGCCCAGGAGCAATGTTTTTATGGGGCACATTAGGACTCATAATCCTCATAAAACAATCCCTGACGTCTGTGAGCTACTTGAACATAGTTGCAGACTAGGTTCGCCCATCATGGTAATAGTTTTTCCTGCGGGGGATGGTGTTTACCAATAGGATAATGCACCATGACATAAGGATCGAATCGTCGAGGCACATTCCAGTGACTTTCAAGTCATGTCTTGGCCCCCAAATTCACTTGACCTTAATCCAATTGAGCATTTGTGGTTCTACTTGGAAAACTAAATTCGTGCTGCCACGCTACCCCCTTGCAATGTGAGGGAATTGCAGGACCAGTTGGTGAGCGCTTGGTACCAGATACCTCAGACTACCTATCAGCACCTTGTGGAATCAATAACACGGCGGGTGCTAGCAGTTTTGAGGGCTAAATGTGGTCCTACATGTTATTAGCAGGGTGGTCCTGATGTAATGGCTCTTCGGTGTATACTAAGCTAAGGATTCGTCACATCGCCAAATACGATAAGCTCGTAAATTTGGCGAATGAAATTGTGTGGTGGTGAAAGTATTAGCGAATGGTTCTTTGCACTGGAAAGAAAAATTTATGCTTAACTCAATCCTAAAGATTGCGTCCAAGTTAATTTTTCTAAACAAATCAGAATTTTTTTATTCGATGAGAGTAATTTTCGATAGATGCGCCGCTTAACCAATTAGAATTGGGTCTAATTAATATAACCCAGAAACAAACTACTGTAAAATAGTTATTTATGGGAAAAAAATTTATCATAAAATTGTTAATATTAGAATTTGGCGAAGTCTTTTAAAAAAAAATTGCGAATATTTCTGATATTTTGCTAATTTACTGGCTAATATTTTGAAATCCTTAGCGTCGGTCCCGCATATACAGTGGTGGCCAAAAGTGTGGAAATTTTTTGAAAGTTTCATGTTTTTCAACCTTGTGTGCTGGTAGAATATATTAATTTTCACTTAAATACAAACGTTTATATATCAAATTGAAGGCAATTTAATGTAGAAGTTAATAATAAATACAGTATTACAATATCTGTATTACAAAAAAAATTATGCAACTAATAGTAAGATCTATCTTAGATTTGCATTTCTTTATAGTGATACTTACACAATCAATACTTAGTAGGATAACCCTTCTTTTTTAAGACAGCTTCACAGTGTCTTTTCATCGAGTGAACGAGTGTTTGGAGTTCAACTTTCGTAATCACATGGTGCAGAGAATCAATTATAGCTTCAATAAGTTATCTTTTATTGGATGGATCTTTTTTTCGTACAAGAATTTTCAAACGTCGCCACAAATTTTCAATTGGATTGAGATCAGGGCTGTTTCCTGGTCATGGTAATATATCTATTCCTTTATTTTGAAACCATGTTTTGTATACTTTTGCTGTGTGGCATGGAGCTGAATCCTGCTGAAAAATAAATGCTGCGTTGTCGGGGATGGATGGTATCAATTTTGGTTTCAGGACAGTTTCAATGTATTTTTCGGCATTCAGGATGACATCAATCACTTGAATTCGGCCCACACCATCTGCAGACATACATGCCCAAATCTTGACAATTGTTGGTTTTTTTGTAGTTGCTTCAATACCATCAGGATGAAATGCTTCACCTACTCTACGTCTCACGTATTTTCTATAATCACTACCAAAGAGCGATATTTTACTCTCATAACTCCAGATTACCTGCTTCCATTGATTTTCTGACCATTTAATGTGTTCTTTTGCCGACTTAACTCGTTTTTCGCGTTGCTTTTGATTTAAATATGGTTTTTTCCTTGGAATTCTAGCTTGTAGTCCAAATCCTGATAACCTTCTTCTTATTGTTCTTGAACTTACTGCAATACCCGTTGCATTCATTTCACATCTAATGGCATGTGATGAAAATTTTCTATCTTGAAGCCATAGCCGTTTAATTTTTCTGTCGGCAGTAGCACTTGTGCATTTTTTCGGCCTGATTTGGCTTTATTTTCCACTGATTTCGTTTTTTCATAACGTAAACAGAACTTTCGTACACCAGAACAAGTCACTGAACCACCAATTTGTCTTGCAATTTCAGCATAAGAGAGGCCAATTTCTCTCAATATGACAATTCGGCTTCCTTTTGTAGATGTCCAATTAGTTAATCTTGTTGATGACATTGTTTAAAATTAGTTTAATTAAAAAAAGGATTTTAAATATTCAAAAACAGCAATACTCTACTTAATTGCACTAGTATGCATTATTCCGCAAAATATTTCCACAACAATAACTCTTTTACCATTCAAATAACCTAAACTATAGTTACAGACATTTGATTGGTCCTAAGAACAGTGTTTGTGATTGGCTAGTACGCTTTTATTACAAAACACGTCCTTATTCAAAACGATTTATGTTTGTTTGTTCTACTAAAATAAACATAACTTTTTTTGTAGTAAGGATATTTTAATTCTGTTTTTATTATTAAATTCTACATTAAATTACCTTCAATTTGATATGTAAACGTTTGTATTTAAGTGAAAATTAATATATTCTACAAGCACACAAATTTGAAAAACACGAAATTTTCAAAAAATGTCCACACTTTTGGCCTCCACTGCATATATTAGTTCAATTATAATAATTAGTCTTCCATTAATACTCTTTAATAATGTAATCAATTTATACGAATTTGCTTAATTACTGTAAAAGTTACAAAAATAGTGCCAATGTAAAATATTGTCAAATATTCCTTTTTTTAATTCATCGAAAAAGGATCGCTTTAATGATTTTTTAAACATCATCTAAATAATTGTTTTACAGCATCCCGTATGTCAATTATGAATTTATTTATGCAGTCGAATATTAAAAACGTTGAAAATAAACGTAAAGAAATGAACAACAAATACATAATTGTCCATTGCTGTATCTTTTTTTTCGCACTTTCTCGTTCCTATGCCTCATACATACAAAGCACATAGTATAACATATCTTCATTTGGTCTTTTAGACTGGTATTTCCGTTTACTTATGCTAATCTACGGAATTATTCTTGCGTTTTTGAAAACATGTCAGAATGTGTCAGAAAAATGCCAAAAAAGTTTTGAAAAATAAGCCAAAAAGTTTTTTGTAAATTTATATTTGTAAAGAATTTTATGTCGGTAATATTGGCAGAAATTAGTATTTACCTAATAATATATATTATGTGTGAGTAACGAAATGTTAAGTTATTTAAATTCCCAATGCTTTATGAAATTGTTTCGAGTAATAAAGACGAAATCTTTATAAACAAGAAAATATTATAAAATTCTTAAGAACCATTTATTTCAATTAAATGTATTTAATACTTTAAATGCGAAAAGAAGACTGAAAATTTCAATTCAAACCCATAAAAACTATTGTGTATATGCAATAGAAATGAGGGATAAAATAACTTTATTCTTGTTCTAATTAATCTTTCAAGATGATTGCTTTTTTTTTATACTAACCTGTTAACTAGGTACTCATACACATGATCAACTCGTTTTGCAGTGGTTTAATTTTTTCTTCATTAATTATAAGTAATATCATCATAGTTAAACATTATCAAACACATTCCAAAGTCACGAACATAGCATAGATTAGTAAAATATATATATTTCATTTTATTAAAATAGTGCTAATATTTTTAAGACTTTAAGTAAGCTTATGCTTCTTTCAATTTTTAGTTGTTTAAGAAGTTGATCAGTGAAACATTTATTTAACGTCTGAAATTTAAAGGTTATTAATTTTGAAGATCTAAACTTATTTTTCGAATGGCAGGCACTGAACTTTATTCGTTTCGTCTAAGAAGATGCCAGAGTTGTTACTCATTTCGCGTTAACCAGTGGGCACCTGTGAACCAAAGTTACGGAGGCGAGTAACTTTGCCCACGCCACACTGCCACAAACCCGTTCATAGGGTGGGCCGCATTCACTCATCACACACAACAGAGGACAACACAAGAGAGAGAAACATCCATGCCCAGAGCGATATTCGAACCTGCGACTATTGGGTTCGCAGTCAGGCGCGCTAACTACTCGCTCACCTGGCGGGCTTGCAAAAACAAAATCAAAATATTTTCTTCCAGTTTCCAAGGAAATTCATAAAATTTTAGGACAAGTCTAGAAACTAAAGCTTCGAATTTTTAATTTTTGAGCTTTATTAGATTAATTTTTAACTATTTAAATATGTATTTTTTCGCTTAAAGAAGAATTGGAATAAGTTATAAATTTTTTGTATGGAGAAACTGTTCTCTCTCATGCTCATAAAAACGTACTTATGCCAAAATGGTTCAAAAGAAAAGTGCAATATATTTGGAAGTTTTTGTAGTAATATTTCAGTTAGCAGTTTTTATCAGTTAGCATCAAGACTTGTTATGCAAAATTTGAATTTTTCATTACGTACAGATTGATGTGTTTTTTATGAGAAAAAATTATAAGCAAATAAATTAAGGTGTAAATAGATTATCTGCAACATTATAAATAGCAGGTTTAAAAGTATCAGTAATAAATAAGTAACTTAACTCCCAAATAAAGTAAATAATAACTAATACTAGCATATATTAACCTCATATGCTAGCATATCATATGCTAAATGTTAGCAAATATAATTTTTTACAATTATAGTTTTATAGTCTTAATAATTATTTAAAGGACACAGATAAAAGTTGATTAGTACTCAAATGCATATAAATAACATAAAAACTTTTTTCAATATTTTTTTAAAGATTCAGTATTTTTTTTTCTTGCTCAATAAGCTGATTAGAAAAATATTATTGAAAATTCGAAATGTAAATATTTTAATAATTTGTAATGCTTACGTTTACAAAATCCCAACATCATCAACAAGTTTCTAACGAAACCAAACATTTTTTCACTTTTCAGAAAAGCTCTGGAAATTTAAGCTCAAACGTTATGTGTATAACTCACAAGCTCAAAAATTAGAATGATTGAATTTCCGAAAAACAATTATTTCTTGTTGTTTTCAATTGTTGAATTTTCTGAATTTTAACTGAAACAGATCATTGTTAAGGATTAAAAAGTCACTTTAACAATTGTTGCTGGAAGTTAGTTAAACGCAATCAAAATCTATCTAATTGTTGTAAACTTACCATAAAAAGCTTTTAAAACTGATTGTTATAAATCAGGGGATAACTAGAATGCGTACTTTATATTAAAGTATCAAAAATCCAATATTTTAAAACTTGTCTTAAAGCATTTTGCATAAATTAGTCTATATCTATTGAATTAGAGTTACATACAATCCTGCAGGAGTCGGAAATATTTGTTTTGTATTATAATGATTTTTTTTAAAAATCACTATAATCCATAAATAATCACTGAAAAGTTATAATATATACTCAATATCAAATAATTGTTTTTATTAAAATCATGAATACAGAACACAAATTACATTAGTAAGATACACTTCGATTAGCAGTTTTTTTTGTCAATGATAGTTTAAGTCATGTCGGTTTCATTTCAAGGCGAAATCGCTACTATTTTTCAATTCTTTATATCCTTATACACATGTGCACGATTACGACGAATTGAACTACGATGAACTATAATAATAATAACATTTATTTACATAACAGAGGTAAGTTCACACAAGCTGCGGAAGACCGCAAGCAATCCTTTTACATGACAATCACGACTACAACTACTGTATTACAACAAACTTAGGGGAGGCAGCCGGTAGCTGCTTACTTCGCTCCTTTTACATTGGAATGTGAGCCAAAGCGCCTTGTGCAAATTAATTCGGCACAACACATTTCTGAGTAATTTAAAATTTATAATGTTTATGATAATTATATTAATGTGGTAATACCATTAAAATCTTCAATACGTTTTTAGTCAAGTGATAAACATTCTTTTAAAAATTATACTATGTTATAATTTTAATTCGTACTCTCCTTTAGTACCGCATACGCATATCAATGACCTCTAGAAGTGGTGTTCTTTTTACTCATGCAAAATCGACCTTAATAAGCTTAGGGAGTTAAACATTTCTTTCCTTTTTCAATACCACTATAACTAAAGCGGTTTTCTAATCTAAATATTACAATCGTATAGAATTATTTACAATCCTATAGAATTATTTATAATCCTATAGAATTATTTACAATCCTACAGAATTATCCTATAGAATTATTAAGAAATTATCAACTTCCTCACTTCATTTCGGTCCATCCGAACTTCGTGAGGATAAAAATGACGCCATTTCCGAAATGGCGTCAGTTAATCATTAAGTCTTTTAAAAGGTGTCAAATATTTTGCCAAGTAAAATCTTCCAAAAAATATTGCTTTTAAAGGAAAGATTGTTTGCATAGAGTAAGTGTAGAAGTGTTTTCATATTTTTCTTCCTACAAAAGTATTTATATAATAGATGTTAAAGAAAAAAAGTATTTTGTTAAGAAAACACACAATGAAAGTTTCGGTTAGGTACTTTTATTTACGTCGCACTAAAGCTACACAGTAGACTTTTGGCGACGTTCTGTCTTGGAAACATCCCTAAGTATCATATGGAGACAACATACATATGTCACATCCCGTTTCATAGGGATGACACATTCATACTCCATTAAAATTCCGAAGATAGTAATTTTGATCTGAACCAGGGCACGATCAATCTCCGATCCAGAACCTTGAGAGGTATTGTTTTATTATGGAAAATTTAAGGACTTTGTGACCCGACAGATTTATCATGCACCAGTCAGCATTTTGTTTGCGGGGAATCATCGGCAGACTGGAATCAAACTCATGACATGTAGGACATGGGCCCGACTCCCTATCAGCCATATCATACAGGTCCAGTAAAAGTTTCATACTATAATTTAAATTTTTTTGTCCATCTTAACCCGTAAAGTCTCCAATTACTTGCCATATATTTTGAACATAAATTTCTTTATTCATTTCAAAAGTACGTCAGTCAATGTTCAATTTTTCACATTAAATTTTCGATATAAGGTTTTTATTTAAAAAGATTAAGAGGAAAATTTGCACAACATTTACATAAAAAGTATGCTTAATTGCTTCGAAATGCTTTATATTAGAAAATAGTTATATTATGAAACAAAGGCAAGAAACCCATAAATTTTCTAACTTTGTCTTTTTCTGTAAGGGATGTCATCAAGTTATTTTGCCACTTAGGAATGCTTTATTGACTTTTATTCAAGTTTTAAAAAGACAGTCTAATTAACCTGGGTAACCTTAAGCACTCAGAATTTTCATTGATTATTTTAACTCTATGCATGCATTTTATTTTGTAACCATCGTTGACGACCGAACAAATTTTTGAGTTTACGACGATCAGTGTCGCTTTGTAATTTTGAGCCCAATGCAGAAGACAAGGGAACTCCTCAATTAAGTATAAGAGGAATTCACCTTCACGGAAGCCTTTTTAGTGGAGCTTACTCGCATTTGCCTTACATGGCGAGGAGAACCACGAAAATTATCCACATTAAGTCTGACGCAAGGTGACTCTAACCCATGATTTCCGTCTACACTTTTTTTTTTTTGGGGGGGNGGGGGGGGGTGCGGAATTCGTATTGACCTGGCATTGCTGGGATTCGAACCTAGGGTACTCATTGAGAGGTGAGTGCTCTATCCTCTAAGCCCCTGCAGCGAATATTGTGGAAAAGGTCATGCTTAGTATGGCAGAGTACGATAATCATTTCTAATTTCGTAATGAAATTTCCGATATGATTCACAGTGAATGCGTGATTAAAAACAAAATCTCTGAATTTGTCAAATATGTCAGCGTTATGAATACTTTTTTCACGGTAAGATGTATTTAACCTGTCATCTAGCAATCGGACAGTTTATTGAGCTTTTAGTCGGTGATTGATCTCAATAATAATTCCTAAGATTTCGATGACGATTTTTTTCCTTCCTCATTTCCATGTTTTCAAAATTTAACGAGTTTATGCTTAGATCCTTTTTGAGTTGGATTTGTTCAGGGTAATGATAGCTAAACACCATCAGTAATATTTAATTTCGTATGAATGCAGGTACTACAGGAAAATAATATTTTTAAATTTGTGTACTATTGTATACGCAATGTACAAAGAAAAAATAAGGAAATGTGGGCTAAGAATTAATTAAGTAATGAAAAAAAGAATAGCATTTCTGCAACAGCTCGTTGTGTACTGAAGGATCATGGAAGTTAAGGCTTCTCATTTACGAGACTGACAGTATGATGACTGACAGACAAAGAGATCAGCATTCAGCACAATCCACAATTACTTCTCAGTTAAGCTAGTTCGCACTGACCTTAGCTATGCGTGCTTTTAAACTGCCACTAAGAATCGAAACATACACTTTGGCAGCAACTACTTTATATACTTAAGTGGAGTTTCACTACCTTCAAAACCAAGGAACATTCATACGCCTATAGAATGTTCTTTTGCATTACTTGTTGTAAAGTAACCAACACCTAATTTGTTACTTAGTAACGCTAAAATATATAATTACAGTAAAATATAATACACATAAGAATCAGTAAAGTTAAATTTGGAACAAAACTCATAAGTTTAGAATGCGTATATGCAATATTTCATAAAATAAGATTTATTAATCAAACATACACACAACACGGGCTGAATATTAATATAAATTCGATCAAAACCGAAGTGAATCGAAGTTAAATACTATAAAATTAAATTATACAATTTGCAAATTAGTGTAAATCTTATGAAAACTTAAATATACAATAAGAAACATACGTGCATTTTATAACAGTTTATATGAGTAGTTTGTCAAATCAATCCGACAAGAAGATAGAAATTAACCGGCAAATAATTAATTACAATCAATAAAGAAAATTGGTACTTACTTGGAATTAAAGAGACTACTACGAGTTTCTCAATTCAATCTTATAAGACTTGGTCACACATTTCATCAGTACACTTCATGTAAACAAACCACCATTTCGTCCACCACATTGTCTATTCTATGAAGTAGCACAATTAATTGCCTTTAAATCTCTAATAACAGTCCAAAAGCATTTGTTATACGTTTAAAATATACCATATCATCATTTACACAAGAAATTAGTTAAATAGTTTAAATATACAAAAATTATTCGTAAAATCGGAGGGAAGCAATGGGAGCTCCGAAAAATACGAACTTCTTCTCCAACGAGCTGCTAATTTGTGTAAGCTTTATCAGTTATTGGTTTAAAGATTCAACTATACGCCTGGAGGTGTGAAAAAAGAATTAATTCGGTATTAACTTTAAGTAAAGGGATCATTCACAGAGATAAATTTCAGGATTTAATGTTCAATGAAACATTAAGGTTGTTGTTGTTGTTGTTCATTTACATCGCACTTCATTACTGCACGATGGGCTATTGGCGACGGTTTGGGAAACATCCCTGAGAATGATCCAAAGACATGCCATCCCAATTTTGCTCCTCTGCAGAGGGGGTGGCACCCCCGCTTCGGTAGCCCGACGACCTGCACGCGAAGTCGAGCACTTTACGGTAGCACAGTTTAACGAGGACCGATACCGCACACCCTCGGTCCCCAGGCAGACTGATCCAAGTGGTCACCCACCCGCACACTGACCGCAGCCAGTGATGCTTGACTTCGGTGATCTGATGGGAACCGTGTCTTAACGATCAGTTCACTGCGGGACGAAACATTAAGGAAAAACATATTTAAAGAAGCATTGTAATCGGAAGTGAGAATTGCTAAAGAAAAGTATAATAATATTTTCTTAAATACGAGGATGACTATAATGGAGCAATTGGTGATGTAATTGATCTAATTGAATTAGATTGTGAAAACAGAACAAAAATCGAAATAAAATTTTCCTTCGTTCCTCGAGATGCAAAATTAAAAGGATGTTATCCAAGTGACATATCAAGTAAAGTAATACATTTTATGTAATATAATTAAGTGCAAGCCATGGGATATAAATTTTACGGTTAAAAGATATGGGATTTCTAAAATTTATTAAATGAATAGTGCCATGTGATTAAAATTATGAACTTTTCAAAAACTGATTACATCAATTAGTTTCATATCAAACATATTCTATAGGTGATCCTCGATATACTATTCAAGTTTCCGAGAGTTCGTGGGTTCAAACCCCACCGGCCGAAGACTCCCCGTGTAGTAAAGTGACTGATGCACGTTAAATCTGTCGAGTCGCAGAAGTCCTCCATGTTCCCATAACAATACCTCTGGGGATACTGGATTGGAGATCGATCGTTCTCTGATTCAGGTCAAAATTACGATCAGTGAATGAATGAATTGATGTATGAATGGGTCCGCCCTATAAACGGGTGCGACGTATGGTGCGGCAGAATTCGAACTCTTGTCCATAGATGGCGCCACTAAAAAACAAGAAATGCACATTCTGCCGTAAATTTGCTCGGTTTCACCAAGCAGGCTTGCTAGTAACATTGGAAACAACAACAACACTATTCTAGTTTTATTATCTTTAACAGGTTGTCGGTATTCCTCTGCGTGTATGCATGTGTTTACTCACCATATGCAAATCCGCAATTCTGAACTATATCGCACCAAATTTGGTTTATATGCATTCAAAGAAACGGCGGACTTAACTGTTTACTTTAAAACTACGTATGACAATTTCTTTGTGCTCTACTTCTCGAAAAAAGAGTTTTCCGTTTGATATGATAAATATTTTTTGAGCTGTGTTGGCTAAGGGAATAGAGCGTTCACCTTCCAATGAGGTGTACCGGGTTCGAATCCCATCGATGGCTGGTCGATACGAATTTTGCATCCGTCTTGCACCGACCGCAGCTCTGACGTATAATATCCTGAGTGGTAGATATATCATGAGTTTGAGTCCTCTTGTCGTCAGATTAACAGTAGAAGGTTTTTATGGTTTTCCTCTCTATATAACTTAAGTGTGAGTTAGTTCCATCAAAAAGTCCTCCACGAAAACACATTTCTCCCAATACTTGATCCAGGAGTTTTCCTGTCTTCTGGATTGGTTTCAAAATTTCAATTGCACGTATCGAACATTAGTAATCATAAACCAAAAAAATTGGATCGGCTGTTAAACGACTGTTAATCAGCTATAAACTAAAATAATGTATTTTATACTGAGTCGTGGTGGCTCAGGAGATAAAGCACTCACCATCGCATGAATCGCCCTGGGCTCGATCGCTACGAATTCTGCAACCAGCTCGCCCCGACTACAGTCTTGAGGAAAAATATCCTCAGTGGTTGACGGATTATTGGTTTAAGTCCCCTTATCATTAGGCTAACCACAAGAGGTTTTCGTAATTTTCCTCCCCATGTAACGCAAATTCGGGTTAGTTCCATCAGGAAGTTGTCTGAGGGAAATTTTACTCTGTATTTGATCAAGGAGCTCTCTTTTCTTCTGGATTGGGTTTAAAATTACAAACCTATGTAGTTGAACATTTGTAGTTGTAAGCCTGAAGTGGGTGGGCTGTTCCACGACTGTTATAAATTATAAAATAAAACCGAATATTTTATACTGAGTCCTGTGGCTCAAGGGATAGAGCACTCGTCTCCCAGTGAGATGACCCGGGTACGAATCCCAGAAGTAGCTGTTCGAAGTGGATTCCGCACCCGAATGACAACCAATCACAGAGCTGATGAAAAATATTTTCAGTAGTAGACTGATCATAGGTTACAATAAGCTCACCGTAAAAGGTTTACTGTGGTGTTTCCATACATTTTACAAAAATGTGGTTTAGCTACATCAAAGAGTATTCCACGAATACAAATATCTTCCAATATTTGACCCCCTTTTTTCCGGACAGTGTTCAAAATTACCGAGTTGAATATAGAAATACTTTATGTTATAAGAGATTTCCTAGCTTGCAGCTCTATTCAATCAAAAGTTTTATTTTTCTTATGATTTTATGCATTGCTTATCTTTGGTGTCATATATTATCACATTTAAAATTAACAGTAATAATTTCGCGATATATGTTGATGACATCACGAACTACTATTTAAAAAAAAAGGTGTATTATTAGCCCACGTACTTCTGTTTTTGATACTTATGATTTTCAAAACTGCTTCGATAAACTGTTTCTACAATGGAAATTCTTCAAGAATTAATAAAATAAAAATGAAGTTATCTATTAAGCTATAGGAAAACTGAAGTAGACTCTGAATATTTCAGATTATATGATACTAGATACACAGAAGAGCCATTACATTATGACCACCCTCCATCTATAACAATGGTCTCGTCCAGGTTTTCTTGGTTTCTCGCCCAGGAACAATGTTTTCATGGGGCACATTAGGACCTATATTCCTCATAGAACTATCCCTGACGTCTGTAAGCTACTTGAACATAGTTGCAGACCAGGTTCACCCATTCATGGCAACAGTTTTTCCTGCGGGGGATGGTGTTTGCCAACAGGATAATGCACCACGTCATAAGGGTCGAATCGTCGAGGAACATTCCAGTGATTTTCAAGTCATGTCTTTGCTCCCAAATTAACCTGACCTTAATCCAATAGAGCATTTGTGGTCCAACTTGGAAAACGAAATTCGTGCTGCCACGCTACCCCCCCGCAATGGGAGGGAATTGCAAGACTAGTTGGGGAGCGATTGATACCAGATACCCCAGACTATCTATCAGCACCTTGTGGAATCAATGCCACGGCGGGTGCTAGCAGTTTTCCTACATGTTATTAGCAGGGTGGTCATAATGTAATGGCTCTTCGGTGTATACAGTTCATCTTTCTCTTTTTGAGTTGAAACTTTAACTCATATTACGGTAAATCTATTTGTATGTAGCTGCACCGGAAGCGTAAAATCAGATTCTGTACAGGATACCGAGAGACTGAAAGATCCAGACTTGAAGAGACGTAATGATTGAGATACTGAAGCTAAAAACCATAATATTGAAGTTTTCAGGTTCATGTTTCAAAAATACTGACAAACCCCTGTGTTTCCAAAGTAGGTACTACAAGTATCTAATATTGAAATTGAAACAGGGGTGAACAGTTTTTTTTCTCTTATTTATATAAGAATTTCATGATATTTACCTTCGTCAACTAAAAAACCTCTCTCAACATTTTATTGCACAAATTGGGAAAAAAAAATTACATCTTAATGTGAATTTCAATTAATACATGTATTACAATTAATGTGAATTTCGAACACATTTTTTTAAAATAATTTAAATAAATTATTTCACAAGTTTATTTGCATATTTTATTTTGATAAGGTTGTGATACATCTTTATACATGCTTATACATGTTTCACTGAACATTTAGTTTTTTTAATCTTGATCGGGTATCGTAACATCTTGGCAAACGATTCAAGGAGATCGAATAGGGTTACTAAACTGATCCCCAACCATATACCTACGAAACCTCCAACATTACTGAACAGTTCAACATCCTAAAAAATACGCCATTAAAAAGTTAACAGAAGCATTACAAATAAATGCAATCAAAAGGAAATTTAAAAGCAAGTCTTAAGGTAGCTGAAGATAATAAAATATGACATTCTGTATGGTTGCAGCATACGAGTATTCCGTTTGCTGTGATTGTTTCAGAATTTTCCCCACTATACAGAAATGTCTCTTAAAGGGCATACTTTCAAATCTTTCTTTACGCACCCATGAGTTAGTTTAGAACATTCTATATCGGTCTGTTTGAAATGAATCTAAAATAGTTTTTGTTTTGTTTCAGTGTCTTTGATTTTTGAGGTATTTTTGTTCAGGAATTTTTATATGATAAATAATGATTTGAATTTAAATATTTCCTGTGTTTTTTTAAAGCTGGAATTACTTTTATGAAAGATAATGAAATTTATCAATGCTGTGTAGTTTGCAACAACTGGTAAAGGTTATACAGTTTTGTAAGAATTTTTTTTTGAAACCTGCAGGTTTTGACTTATCATCCATTTCATTTACAGATTCTGACATCGAGAAGTTGTATTTGTCTTGTAGTTTTTCCGGCATAACCTAACTTATGATAATTTACTGGCAAAATGGAGGAAACTTAGTTACACTGACAGCCTTTCTTCAAAGTACCATTAGACCGATTTAAATAGGAAAATTTATTAAAATTGTTAAAAAAAGCGCGAAAATAATATTTTAGCCGATACAGAGCTACTAATCCAACGCCTCATAGATATAAAGATCATGTTCACAGAAAGTATCAGATTTAATTATCTATTATATTTATTATTTACATTACAAAGTTTCACACCAACAAGATATCAGTGCATCATTTTGAATTGAACATAATAATTATACGTTTATATAATCAAAAACATCAGGCATGCTCATCTTTACGTCAGACATAATTCTACCAATTACAAAAATTTCCTTCTAATGCAAACAGATTGTATGTGAAGATTATCGCCGTTAATTTGTAATTATTGT